AGCCGGCCACCCCCCAGGACAAACCCCTGCGATGCCCCTTCTGTGACTTTGCCTGCCGTCACCAGCTCGTCTTCGACCAGCATATGAAGGGCCATGGGGGCACCCGTGTGTACAAGTGCTCGGACTGTGAGTACACCACCAAGAACAGGCAGAAAATCACGTGGCACATCCGCATCCACACTGGCGAGAAGCCCTACAAGTGCCACCTCTGTAAATACGCCTGCGCCGACCCCTCGCGTCTCAAGGTGAGAGCCCTGCTGGGGGGTATTGTCCGACTGCATCTACCTGGGTTGGGTGGGATTCAGACACAGGGATTTGGGGAAATAAAAAAAAACTCCCAAGAGGATGTTTTGTCCTCTGTCCCCTTCTGTGGCTTGTACAGGAATAGGAGACGAGCGGATGAAACCCATGTGGGTACAATATGTTTCTTCCCTGCTGTTGCAGATTAAGGGAAAGGGTGATTTGTAGCAAAGCAAGGTGGGCAGCTGCCCGAGTTCGCTCCTCTTCCAGCTGACGTCTCTAGCGTCCTTTGGGTGCAGCCTTGTGCCACTCGAAGCCAAGTTTGGCTGCCTGCTGGCTTGCAGCATGCTCAGTGTACCGGTTAGACACGGGGAAGCTCAGCTTCCCTGCAAGCAGAGCCAGACCCTGCCCTCATTTCTGTGGGTGATTAGCATCCTCACGCATGGCAAAGGGCCTTTCCTAGAACAGGAAGGCCAAGTGTGGAGTAATGGAGGGGAAACCAGTCTGGTTTTGCTAAAAGAAATACAGACCTTTTTTAATGGCCAGGCTGAGCTGGAGCCTTCTGGGGCCACCTGGGCAAGGCTGTGCAACGCACTCAGCTCAGGGCTAGCTCTGTTGGGCTGGGTTTTAACCTGGATTTTGCCCTAAATACCAAACTGGGGAGAAAAGCCTGTGCCTCTCCACAGGGTGGGACAGAGCAAGCTCAGCAGTATGAGGGTCTCATCCTGACTCTGCTGTAGGTCCCCCCTGCCCATAGTCTGCCAGGCCAGCAGACAACCCTCCTTGCCCCATGCAGTTTGATATGTCAGACCTGTGTTTGAGCCCCTCACTGACACCTCAGAGCCCTGCACATTCCCAGGGCAGGTGGCATGGCCTCATCCTGACCCTGCCCTCTTGCCCTGTGCCCAGTACCACATGCGGATCCACAAGGAAGAGGTAGGTCCCCCCTGCCCATAGTCTGCCAGGCCAGCAGACAACCCTCCTTGCCCCATGCAGTTTGATATGTCAGACCTGTGTTTGAGCCCCTCACTGACACCTCAGAGCCCTGCACATTCCCAGGGCAGGTGGCATGGCCTCATCCTGACCCTGCCCTCTTGCCCTGTGCCCAGTACCACATGCGGATCCACAAGGAAGAGCAGAACCAGCTCAAGTACCACATGACAAAGCACACAGGTGAGTGCTGCCCGCCAAGGACGGGCTGTGGTGCGCCAGGGAGGGATTTGGGGCTGCGCAGACCCCCGGTCCATGCTTTATTTGCTACCAGTGGTCCAGCTGGAGGTAGGGGAGGACCCACAGCAGTTGGGGGGCAGCATGTTCTGGTGTGCTGGTGGGTTGAGGACAGCACCCCAGGGTGGGAGGGAAAGCGGAGCAGTATGGTGCCTTGGAAATTTGGGGGTTTGAAGTGCTTGCTGGCATCTGCACCTTTCCAGTGCTGAGGACAGTATGTAGGGGGGTCCCTGTGGACTGATGCCATTATAGGGACAGCGAGACCTGTAGGAGGGAGGGCACTGTACCCCCATCCCAGGCCCTTCCCTATTGCTGCAGGCCTGAAGCCATACCGCTGCGATGAGTGCGAGTACCGCACCAACCGGGCGGACGCTCTGCGGGTGCACAAGGAGACGCGGCACCGGGAGGCCCGTTCCTTCATCTGTGAGCAGTGCGGCAAGGCCTTCAAGACCCGCTTCCTCCTCAAGACCCACCTGAAGAAGCACAGTGAGGAGAAGCCCTACATCTGCAACGCCTGCGGGCGGGCTTTCCGCTGGGCAGCCGGCCTGCGCCACCATTATCTGACCCACACCAACGAGCATCCCTTCTTCTGCCGCTACTGCCCCTACAAGGCTAAGCAGAAGTTCCAGGTCATCAAACACATCCAACGGCATCACCCCGAGCGTGGGGCTAACGACCCCAGCCAGGGGGTGGGCAAGGACCCCAGCACTCCCACCGTCCACCTCCATGCCGTGCAGAGGGAGAGCCGGGCCGAGGGCCCCCCCAGGACAGAGCAGGAAGGAGGGTGCCCCGCAGAGAAGGACGGCGCTTCGCAGTGAGGCCAAATCCTGACTGCTTTAAGGCCCCAGTGGCGCAAGCCTGCTGCAGAGATGTATGTGTGTGTATAGGCATATATGTATATGGGATGTAAAATATGCGGCTGTATAAAATGAATCTCTCTGCTCCTTTTAATCCTTTTTCTTTGGGCCGTTTGGAGCTCTGTGCCAGCCGTGGGGCAGGTGCCTGCAGGGAGGGAGCGCAAGCAGAAGCCCAGCTCCCCGTCTCTGTCCCCAGTGCCACTGCACCCAGACCCTAGCCTGCCTGTCACCGAACAGTTTATTAAGTTGCTTACAGAGAAGGGATATGGTAGGGGTTAGTAATGGGCACCAGCCAGGAGCAGCCCCGGGGGGCTGCAGAGTGGGGGGCAGTGAGGACTGACTCCTCTCCTGGCTCTGCCCAGCCCTGGGGTTTGCTCAGCTCCAGCCTTGCTCCCCTGGCCATGGGGTACCAGCCCCTGTGGCAGAGCCAGGGGGCTGTGCACCATCTCCTCCTCTTCCTCACGACCAAGCCATGCCTGTGGGCCAGGGCAGGCTGCACGTGGGGGACACAGGGGACTGCACCAGTGCAGACCCCACACTCATGCGTGGGAGGTAGTGTCCCAAACCTCAGAAGGGGAGGTCAGGGCCTCTTCCCAGCCCCTGGAGGCCACTGCAAATGGGGACACAGCAGCGACAACAACACAGGGATGACACAAACAGCTCAACAAGAGGGTGATGCAGTTGGTTCTGTGGCCCCAGCCGCTTCGGGCTGGCTCTATGGCTTCTATCCAGGTCCTATTCCCCCCACAGGCTCAGTCCTGCTCGGGGCCAGGCGGCTCGGTGATGCGGATGTGGACGAAGAGCGAAGAGGGTGGGATGCTGGTGCCGTCCTTGGAGAGGAGATGGATGTGGCGGTAGCCTGCAGGGGAGACAGTGAGGTTCTGACTGATGGCTGCCCCCCACCCTGCTCTCTAGCACCCAGCTGAGCCCAGACACCTCTGTGGGGCTGCCCTGACCTACCACTGCCAGCAGCTGCTCACCAGGTTTGATGTTGGCAAATGCTAAGGTGAACTGGCCCACGAAATCATTCCTGGAGGTCTTGTCATAATCCTCCACCACGAAGCGGACAAGGGCCAGCTCGGGCACGTGGAGCTGGAACTGGAGCGTTTCATCCCAGCGGGGGTTAAACCCTGGGAGGGGAGAGCGGGCGCTGGGAGGATGAGGGAGGGAAGGGACAGGCTGCCTGGGCGCAGCGGGGTCCCTGGTACCCCCGTGGGGCTCACCATTGTTCTCGATATACTTGGTCTCCTGGCGCGCCTGGTCTGCGGGGACCCCGTGGATCTCCACACGCACCAGTGGGTCGATGATGGCTCCGTCCTTGCTGTTGGCCACTTTGGGCAGCTGCTGCCCACTGATCACCTGCGGGAAGGGACAACGACCCTGTGAGCTGGGGAGCAGCCACACTGATCTGCTGGGAGGCTGCTCGGCTCTGGCATGCTGCCTGGCAGTGTCCCCACTCGGTTGGGACCAGCAGAGCTCCAGGACACTCACGACTCCCCAGAGTCTTTCCTTGGCCCCGTACCTGGATTGTCAGGGTGATGGGGCCAGGGCCCTCCCAGCTGCTGGGGTCACTGGGGTTGAAGACAGTCTCCTCGTCCCTCATGAAGGGCGGTTTGAGCACATAGCCACAGCGCCCGTTCTGGCTGAAGAGCCCGTCACACAGGTCCATCTCTGTGCCGGCCGTCTGGAAGTTCAGGGCCACTGGGGGAGGGTAGTAAGGAAAGGGTTCAGGGGAGCTTGGAGAACATGCCCTGCTTGTAGGTGAGAACCAGCCTGTCCCCAGAGCCAGAGAGATGTGGGGCTACACAGGGGGACGAGGCACAAATACCTGGGTAACCCCAAGCTCCCCAATGCAGGGCAAGAGCCTGCAGCCAGACCTGGCACCAGCCAGGGTTGTAGCTGGCACCAACATGGGTGTTGGTGTGATTTTGGCATCTCTCCAGCCCACAGCCCTGATGCCCCCCAGCCATACCGATCTGGCACCCCACGTTCCACATCTCCTGGGGGCTGTAGTTGGAGGAGTCGGTCCGCATCCCGCTGGGGTAGATGCGTGTCAGCTGCCAGGCGTTGTGGCGGACAAACTCATTCCCTAGGGATGGAGCATGAGGGCCACTCATGGGGTCATTCCCTGGCCTGCACAGCCACCCACAACATGTGCTGCCCATCCATCCATCCATGCATGCATGCATCCATCCATCCATTTTCCCATCCACCCACCCACCAATTCTCATCCCTCTCCCCTTCCAGGAACCCAGGTGTCCTGCCTCACTTTCTAAGCCAATAACCCCCACTCATTCACCCAGCAGAGCCAAATCCTGGGGTACAGCCCTGCTGGACTCTCTTTCTCCCAGGAGGGAAGGGAGGGAACCCCAATGTCTGGAGGCTCTAGCACTACACCCGAGGAAGCCTCCTGCCCCCTCCACCCTGGCCCCCGCCCAGGTGCCGCTGCCCCCTCTGCCTCACCCGCATCCCGGATGAGCTTCCTAGCCTTGGCTTCAGCGAGGGAGGAGATCTCGGAGGGCCGGGAATGGCTGCGGGCCTCCTGGAAGCCCCGGAAGGACACGCTCTTGCAGTAGACGACGCAGTCGGACAATGCCTGTGCCAGGCTCTCCTTGTCCTTCTGCAAGGCAGGGCCATGTTGGGTCCCTCCTGATGGGACCACCATCCCCTAGCATTCCCAGGACAGGGGCTGTAGAGCCTGGGGCAGCCAAGAACAGCTGGGGGGGGCTGGGGTTGGCAGCATCCCCACCACAGGCAGCCTTCCTGCTGTCCCTGCCAGGAGCAGAGCAGGCAAGGGACCCCCCATCATAGTGTCACCACAGGGATGCTGTGCAAAGAGGGGGCTGGCATGGCCGGGGCAGAAAGGGCCGTCCCCCCTGCCTGGTGATTTCCCTGCAGTCTCTGCCTCTCCCCACAGCACTGAGATGTCACCATGGCCCATAGCTGTGTCCGGGGGTTCAGCGCTCACGGCCGGTCCCCAGCCTGGGCCACCCACCTTCGCTCTCCGTCTCTCCTCCTCCGCCTCTGCCCCGTTGTCATCATCAGACACATCAGGCGCCTCGTCCCCTGGCCCGTCCAGCATGTCCTCCAGCCGCCCAATCT